ATATATATAATATGGTGTAAGGCATTTGCATGGAATCTTGATAAAAAAAAAAAAATATATATATATATATATACAGTCATCAAAAGGAGGGAGTGCCCAAAGCTGTGGTTGAAAATCTAGAAATGAATGAATTATATGATCAGCAATTGAATATTGATCTGATTCATCTTGAATAGAAGGAACAGCCACCACTTGCATTTTTGCAGCCTTTCCAGCTTTAACCCCTACCCTGTTGATATAATTACATTGTTAACCCTGTTGATAGTCTTTGACAAACTATCAAATACCTAAAGTACCCCCCTTAATATGACATATTTTAGAAAAGTGAAAAAGACCAAAATTCACTTACAGAGAATCTTCTATCACAAGACAACAAGATGCATCCACACCCATTTTATTTGCAGCTTCCAGGAATCTAATGTTTCAAGTGATTTTCATCATTTTAAGAAAAGTGAGTCACAAGAACTTTCTCTTATACTTGAATAAAGCTTTTTTTTTTATATGTCCAAGTTTTGGCTCTCAGCTATGAGATAAATGGCCAAAAACAACTTTTAAAGAATCATCATATAAATGCTTACAAAGCTTACAGATCTGGAGAAGGCTTCCCTGATTTGACTTGATCACTTCCAAGAATTACTGAAAAGTATTCTTTCCAACCTATTGTAAGAAAAAATCCATAAGAAATAATATTCAAAAAAACTCTGTCCAATAGACATCAACATACTTAAGAAATTCTTAATAAGAATTAAGAACAAAGTTTGTGTTTTTCTTAAATTATCATGCTCCTACATATGTGGAACTTGCAAGGTATGATTTTAAGAAACAATTAAAAGGATTCACTATTCCTCAGCATATGCAGAAGTGTAAAAAGAAAAAGCTGCAAATTTGCTTTTTCATTGGACATCATTCATATCAATATATCATCATATATTACATTATGAATATTTACTTCCACTATTTGTTAACAATCTTGATACCTTACTTTATAAATACTATAGTGGAAGATGATTACATGACATTTTCTATATCGAAATTGGTGTAAAGAAAAGTAGATAAAAAAACACATCAGAAGATAATTTAACAAGAAAACAATACAACTTTACTAAAGAAACAAGGACTATTTTTCTAGTGTGGATGTGTATGCAGGTCTATGTAAACATGAATGTGAGTAAATCTTCTAAGAGGATGTGGTTTGATAAGACTTAATAACAAAAAGGGTAAAAAAGAAGGAAACAACATGACCTTTCTGGGAAGAGACTTTGACTTCAACATTCTTCCTTATGGAGTTGGAAGCAAGTGCAAAAGGAACTCCATGTTTATGGAGATGCTTAATGAGGCGATTGACACCAGGAAGTGGTTTG